GCCTTGAGGAGGTGAGAGATTGCAAACATTATTCATGTCTTCTCACCACCAGGCAGTCTTACAGGCATATCCTAAAACAAAGATCCTTATGTCAGTCAGGGACAGACATAGTCAAGGCTGGAAGTCCTTCAAGTAGAGTCTAACAGAAAGGATACTGCAAACACATAGCGCTGATTCTGATTTCAGTACAAGAATATAATTTACACGAGCTGTGGATTTCAGAACAGGAAAAGATACTAAGGGATGCATGCCCAAACCAAAGCACATTGTTGTTATGAATACAGCTTCCAGCACATTCAGTATATGATAAGTGAAGAGAGGCTCTTTAGAACGTTAAACAGTAGAATAAATCTTGAACTGATAGTAGTTAGACCTACCACAAACTAAACAGCTATAATGCAAAGATGCCACAGAGATAAGGCAACAAGCATCTTGCAGATTAAGTCAACTCGTTTTCCTCACTAGGTGAAGGGCACAAACCCTGTTGCTGGCACCCATTTTGAATTTAAACTTTTGGAGAAACATGTTAATATTTCTTTTTTTTGGGAGAGAGAGGAAAAAGAAGAAAAAAAAAAAGAAAAAAAAAAAAGTATCTGGCCTCTTTGCTGTAACAGAAATTTTTGTAATTTCAGACATTGGTTTGAACACTATCCAGAGACTGATGACACCCTAGAAATAGGAAGGCAACTGAATGAAAGGAAGTTAACTAAAGATGGAAATGAATTACAGATTTAAAAAAAAAAAAGATTGTCTAGAGAGCCTTATAAACCACCCTCAACTCTAATACTTGCTAACTCTAATACTTATCTAACCAAGATATCAGACACACTACTGTTCTACATATTATACTAATACTACATATTACCAAAAGAAAAAAAAAATAGTTTCCTCTGGCAATGATGCATACTGAAAGATAATGCTACCAGTGGACAGATAAGACTTTTTTCCCAGTTCCAACTGAGAATCTGGAAGAGGCTGGCACGTGCTACCAGAACAGAACAGGAGCTACAGTCACCATCTCCAGCAGTTTAACCGCTTGTTTGAGGAGCAGTGATGAAAGAGCATGAGAAGGCGGAATAGTTCACTTAATTCTACAAGAAGAACTGGGCAACTCACTTGTTCTTTGGTCTTGTACACATCAAAATGGGTTATGTCAAAAGAACAGTATTTCCTGCTTCCATGGTTTGCATAACTACAGTAAGATGCTCCTTCGGTTGCCACCATAAGTATGTAAAATATAAGACTAAGCACAGACATAAAATGAATTTTATTTACTTTGAGAAGACCAAAACCTCCAGTATTATTCCTGACTGTAGTTATCTTTTTGAAACTAGAGATCACCAGCCTTCTGTTTAAACCAAAAGATATTTGAGTTGTCTTTCGATAATTTGGGGATTTATGAAAGAAGAAAGGGAGAGTATCCTTTGTTTTCAGCAAATGCAAAAAGTAGACAGAGCTTTCACTAAAAAAATGTATATATATATATATATATATTCTCATATACTCAGCCTTCAAATAGTAACATTGGTCAATTCAGAGTGAAAAGGTCAGTTGTCAGTGTCAAACTGAGTTGTCACAAAGCAGGCCTTTATGCTTCAAGCAGACAATCAAACCAAGTATGCCAAATAACTGACAACTGTAAAATTTTGTCTCATTAAAATACTGTCAAATTAAACACTAAGTCAGTGTCACTTTTAGAAAAGTTTACAGTTGATTCACACAGAACATTGATTTTTCTAGTTAAAAAATAAATCTAGCATTCATTTGTTGCATGACATCTGAAAAAACACACAGCTTTTTACTGAAAGTGTTTAAATGTTTAAATCAAAAAAAAAATGAGTTGCCACAGTAAACACAGTAAATTAAACAATGAAATACAAGCTTTTTTTAGGAACAGTAGAGTAATGATCTAAATAAACCAAAATTCATGTATTTAACTATTGCAATTTTTACAACTGGAATGAACTTCAAAGACAGTTACTGTCTACATGAGAGCATAACAAAATACCAAATGTAGATATTGGAGCACTGTAAGAAGCCATAACTAGCAAAAGAGTGCTTGGTTGGTATCTGAAGCCTAATCCTCAGAAAGACAAAACGCTGTAGCCACACAACCAAGAACATGGATGGAGGTTTCTGTTCCGATCCAGGTATCTCATCGCACCACAGCACAGAGTTGAGCATCACCATAAAAAGCAAGCCTGAAAGGGGTCCTATTTATAAGAATGATCCAAACTGTTAGAAATGAACAGACACGGCCTCCCTCCGTTCATACTGATGTCTCAGCTATCAGTATTGGTATCTGCCTATTTTAAAATATCTCTTTTTATCTATAATGTTATTCATATCAGGAAGAAAGGACTATGAAGATGACTACAGGATTGGAGCATCTATCCCGTGATAAAATCCTAGTTTAGAGAGCTGGAACTGCTCAGCCAGGAGAAGACTGAGGGTGGGTGGGTGATCTTATCAGTGTGTAGGTATGTGAAGGGAGGATGTAAAAAGGATGGAGTCAGACTCAGTAGTATCCAGCAATAAGATGAAAGACAACGGGCACAAACAGAAACACAGGAAACTCAATCTGAACGCAATAAAACAAACAAAAAAATCTCTTTACTGTGAGGATGACAGAGCACTGGAACCAGATGCCCAAAAAGGTTGTTGAATCTCCTTGCCTGGAGATCTGCCTGGACATGGTGACCCTGATGGACTATGACCTCCAGACATCCCATCCAATGGCAGACATCCTGAGATTCTATCAAAGCTGGCCATAAATATAAAGTTAACTATCTACATCAGTAGTAAAACTAATTTGAGCATTTGGACTTTTGTCCAAAATCACACGGTTCTGAAGGTCTGACAGTCTACCATCTCCAGGATGCTAGCATAGGAAGTAAAAAAAAAATCTACTAAAAAGGAAATTAAGTGAACAGCATTCTCCCCTCAAACCAAATGAAACAGAATTCCCAGAGTAGAAAATAAGTATATGACATAATATATTTAAAATCAATACTAAAGATGTGCACCGATTCCCACAAAAATACCAAAAGGTAGAATTCCACTGTTATTAGAAATTTATGTCAAGTCTGGGAAATGCAGGTTTCAAAGCTCTGAATTCCTGGATCTCTTTTTTCCCCCTTGCAGTCTACAATTTCCTTCTACAGGCTTTCTTCCAACCCCAGCACAACTAGAGATCAAAGTTTTTCTTTCTCTCAATTCTAATTGTAGTCTGAGCCCTAGATAAAGCTCCCAGTCACGGCTCAAACACAAAATTTCTCACAGCAAAGTTCTCCTTCCAGCCCCACTCCAGCCTTGCCAGCACAAAGTCTCCCGTTTGACCCTAACAGCAATCAGTGTGATTTTGAATATATGAGTAAAAGGCATTAGTAGAAATTCAAGTATATATACACCCTTATGTATATGTGGGTGTATATTTGTGTATGTAAAAAACCTGCCCTATCACAATATCAGCATCTTCCAAACTAAACCAATTTCAGGATGATATACTTTAAAAAAGTAAATAAAGCATTTGAAATGAACACACATTTCTAGCTAATACAACGTACTAGGAAGGAGGAAATGGGAAGTCTTCCTGACCCTAAATTACAATCTGAAGTTCCTAAGGCACAAAATTTGACTATAACCATTGATAATGGAGAGCAATAAGCTTTACAGGCATTTTCACCAAGTCTCGAGAGGAAAGAGAGAAAAAAAAAAGAACAAGAGAATCCAAAAATTCTTTGATTTGATATTCATACATAACATCAAAAGAGCAGTGTTATAAAACCACATACACATGTTGAATTTGTTAGTTAACAAGATTAATGCAAATCTTGTTTTCAGGATCACCTTTGTCCCAGCTATCAGCTCACATGGCAAATTCAACCACAGCCATTTATTCCTCCTGTGAGGAACGTAAGTAAGAATTCAAAGCTGAATTTGTCCTATTTCAGTTTCTAGCCTCTGATTTCTGCTACTCCTATGACAGGAGAATTCAATCTTGCTATTAGATATCTGGCCCATCTGGCCCAGAACAAAGTGAGGATACCTATGTACAGTAAAACAGGAGAAGGAATTAAAAGTCCTTAAAGTCCTCTTTCTCTTTATCAGATCCAAGTAATTAAGTTTAAATAACCATGCTGGAAATGAAGTTTAGGAAGAGTAAGATGAAGCTAGAAAGAATAAGAAAAAAGGGACACATTTTCAAATGATAAACCTGTTAATAATTCCACTACAAATGGTTCTCCATCTTTATAAATTTCTTCAGTGCTAGCTTTTCTGCAAGCAGTTGAAACAAATAGCAGACTTGCCTACTATACCCAAACTGCTTAATGATAAGGTGGAAGAGAACAATCATTCTTTCCAAACTGGAGCTATTTTTTATCATTTTTCATAACACTCACAGAAAATGACAATTATGACTAACACTCAGGTATATATATATATGTGTATATATATATAACAATATATATATTTATATATAGGAGTTAATGTTTACATTATTTAAAATGATTTACAATAATCATTCAAATATACTGTAAGTTGCATTTGTCAGCCTTAAACTCTATATCCCAACTTAAGTAAGATTGGAGATTAAAAATGAGTTGAAAAATCTTGTTATCTGGGTGAAGTTTTATGAAACTAGGAAGGAGGCATAAGGGACAGTTTTTCTAGTACTTTAAACAAAAAAACAGTCACAAGAAGTTCTTGCTTTTGTATTATTAATTCGTATCTAGAAATTTCACGAGAAATGAGATATTCTTTTTGCATCTGATTACAGGAAATTATGCTTTCAAATATCAACAAATTAACCCTCTAGCATCCAATATTTTTTCAACACAGAATGCTCAAGTTGAAACAGTATCCCTTCCCCTATTTTATTCTGAAGCCTTGAATAAGTCTTCAGAATATTTTATTGAGAACCTTTATTCTGAAGACACAAAAATATCTGATCTCATTTTCACTTGCGGTAAAGACTAATTGCACAAAAATTTGCTTACTTGCAACTGAACTGAGTTATCCTGGAGACCTTCTACAATAGGAGAGAATCGGTCAACATTTCTTTCTTCCGCTGCTGCTGTTACAGCTTCCAAAATTTTTTCAAGGCTATAAGAAAGTAAAAGAATTTCACTCAGAAATTCAAACATTATTTGTTCCCCTTAGGGAGCTTTGAAGCCAAAGAATAACTGACTTAATAAAAATGGTTAAGACACCTTAAAATACTGCTTAAAAAAATCACAAATAGCTGCATAACTGCTTCCATCTAATTAGTGTCTCATTGTATCAAAAAAAATATTATCAATTGACCATAATAAAAGTCAGCAGATAAATGATTTCAGAAACTGACTAAATTATATATATAATATACATAAACTTTCAAACTAAGTTACAACTTTTGGATATTCTAAAATTACCTTACTATTTCTGGGGGGAATATATAGCACTTACGTGCTTTCTTCTCCAACAATGCATATTGCAGAAAGAAGTTTAACTATATCCGTCATCATGTTTGTTTGCCTGGGATCGATCGCTTTGGTCAGCAACAAAAGGCTCCTCTCTTCTCCCAGAATTCTTTCCAATCCATACTAAAAAATAAAAACAATCAAGAAGGTTGAGAAGGAATCTAACTTGATATATTCAATGTCCCATTCCCTTCATTTGGAATTTCAAATGATCTTTAAATCCCTTAAATAGTTCATTAAAAATAATTATAGAAATATCTAAACAACATCACTTACTCTGTAATAAGTGCATACATCAGCAACAAAAAGTTTGCATTGTAATCCAACCATACTTCTGCAGATCAGGAGTCTCAGCAGAAGGAACTTCAAACCAAGGCTGACCAACACACCACTTCTACAAATCGCACAGGCTTACATCCTTCCACTGTAAAATGAAGTATCTCGGATTTCCATATTAAAGAAAAACCCATACCTTATTATTCATGAAGGCTCTCAAACACTGTATCACCTTATGCTGACTCCTCTTCACAATTTTGTCCTGGCTGAATTGTTTTTTTCAAAAAAAAAAAAAAAAAAAAAAAGTACTTAAATTCCATTTAAGAATGCACATTAAGAAAAGCTGATGATTCTTATATAAAGTTCTTCTTACTGTTTTGTCTCAACTAGTCTTTCCAAAACATCCAGCAACAGCCCCAGACCTTCCCGGCCAAAGTTTTCAACCCAGCTGGAGAGAGAGAAAAGATAAAAATAAAAAATCTAAAGACTAATTAAAAGAATGAAAATTTTCAGCATAGATAAAAATTAACATAACTGATCATTTTAAAACCCCAAACCGACTTTCTATGCAACAGAAGATCGAGGCGTTCCATTCACTCCCTGACTCAATTAGTTTACTTTATTAGAGAAGTTTATCTGAAAACGAACAATTATCAACTCTGATTTTAATAGTGTTTAGAAACCTTGCAAAAAATGAAGGAGAAAAAAATCCCTGAAGAAGTAAGAATACAAATAATCTTTGCAATATGTGTTAAGGAGCTTCAGATTCTCATACCTGACAGGATTACTAGTCAAGGACACGCGTAGGGATTCTAAGCAAGTGACTAGTCTTTCATCTGTTGATCCAGATTTTAATTCCTGCATAAATTCTTGTGGTGAAATCTTCCTACTTTTCTTGAGGCTTCCCTGAAACACAAAAAGTATATTTATTTTGTATTAGTCCATATAGAGTTTCAAAAGCTAAGTGGCTAACCTTCACTCAAGTATTTGTTTTTCATCTTGTCATGCATGCCAAATTGTGATTAAATTTTTACAAATTTATAATCCAGTCAGTAGTCAAAAACATCATTCATCAAACAAAAATGCATCAGGCACACTCACTTTGTAATGAATGTATTCTGTCTCAGCATAGCAAACATCTTAGTTTCCAACAGTCAACAAAAAAAGAAAAAAAAAACCCAACACCTTTTGTCCCAACTTACTGTCCAGAGCATCTGTGTATCCATGCAAGAGTATAGATGGAAAAAATGGATCTCCAGAAGAATAGACAAGAAATTGCTGCAGTAACTCAATTCTCACAAATAATGTTGCAAAACACTTTTCTCTTAGAGATCTCAATAGACTACAGCTAAATTAGACTGGGATTATCAGGACAGAACCACTTTGGATCTAAAAGCTAAAGCAAAGAGCCTCCAATAAAATAGACATCTTCAGAACCACTGAAAATCTTCCAACGAAACTTTCACTAACCCTGTTTTTAAGTGTATCCCTCTTTTAAGGCATGGCAACAAAGACAGATTTCTTCTTATAGTCAGAATTCAGAAACAGAGGAAAACAAGTCTACTCCATCTAAAGCCACCTATAATAGAAGGGAGAATACACATTTTCCATAGAGCATACAAACTCTAGAAGGGGCAAAATGAGACAAAAGATCAAGCATTTGGCCCAGTCATGTTGAAAAGTCTCCCTTCACTGGGTGGTAACTATTGTAGAGCTCCTAGTTTACACCCAGGCAATCGACTGACTCAGAGCTGACGGAAACAGAGGGTCAGATCTTGAAGCTCTGTACTGGGAGAGATCCATAAAGGACCTAGAAAGAGCTTGGAAGAGCCTCCATTAGCTCTTGATGATCATGCTCTGTGTTCGATTCCCATAGTAAAGGCTCTCTAGAACCTCCCTCTTATTCCCAGGACCAGCAGCCACCATCAATTCCAGCCAGATTTCAGTCAGGCACTAACACGAACCACTAAACATAAGGACAGGTATCTCCTCACTTTACTTAGAGAAGAAGATGATTTTTCTCCGTCTCTCTCATACCCTTCCTAGTGCCCTCAGAAACGTCTATGTTTAGTCATTCTTGCTGTGCATTTCTCTAAACTGTAATTCCATATTCTTCCAGGTTATAGGAGACCCCTTTGTCAGAGATATAGCATTAAGGAGAGCTCCTTAACAACAGAACTTGACTGCCTACTAGCTGAATAGAATTAGGTATGCACTACATTAACAACTTAAAATTCTCTACTGGTAGTAGTTACAAAGCCTCATTAGGTCATTGTATATAGTGATTTTTTTTCCTCATTTTGGAAAATAGATCCTGTGAAAAATGACACTTTTCTCCTCCTGGAGCAGGATGGACTTGCTTCCAGGAGAGAAACTTAGTTCATAAACAGACTTTGTATCATATCTTCCACTGTCATCCACCTCATCAAGATGGCACAGCAACTTCAATTGCACAAGGAAGCGTAGCTGCCCTGTTGTTGGGATACAACCATATCTAAAGAGGAATTTTAAAAAATTCTTCAGGCCAGAAGAGAAAAAAAATGTTAAAAAAAAGTACTTGCAACACTAAGAACTACATAACAGACTATAAGATCTTAAAACCAGAAGCTGAAGCTGCACAGAACACTTCAAATTAACGGGCAGATCAGTGACAAGGGTCACTACATGGTCACTAAACAGCCTGTATACCACTCACAGGCAGCACGCACCTCCTTGTACAATGAGCACCTAATCTTAGCATGTTCCCAGGTTGTGCATTAAAAACATCTCGGGGACTACTGGAATGTGACTTGTGGTTTTAATACAGGGAAGGAATTCAAGCTGTGGGGCAGCAGGGTGTCAGGATGGCTCCTGTGTGCATGGGGAGTGCGCTGGCCGGTCCGGGAGCATCCCAGCTCATCTCTGCACACGCTGCAGATGGCAAATGACTCCGCTCCGAGGTGCCCTCACCCACAGCCTTTCACTGATGGTTACAGGAGCAACACGGGCGGCAATTCCCGACAGCCCCAGGAATCCTCCTGGCAGCTCCTGCTGTGCAAAGACTAATTGGTACACTCTACTTGTATGCTTAAGTGCAAGGATTAATAGCCTGGATGGAAGAGAAGCTGTACTTTTCAGCAACTTCCCCCAGCAGTTCCTGCTGTAAATTTGATCAAGCTGTACATATAGCTAAAATACCTCTACATGGTCAGTTACACCAGTCACTGTTCAAGCAGAGATGGGGGGTGGTATAACTACATACAAAGGATCATTTTAAGAGAGGAGACATTTTTATAAATCATTTTAAATAATCAGTAGAAATGGATTGTGTGGGCACTGTAGTGGTCACACAGGACCAGGACCCAGATGGATGACACTTCAGGTGAGACTCTCTGAACTGTCCTTCTTGTGATGTGGGTAAAGATGCTCACAAGCAGCAGAGACTCCTACCACGACCCATGCAGTGATCCTCTGCTGTTTGAGAATCACTTTCCCCACATGAAAATTACCCAATAAACCTGATGTGTTTGCTTTTGGCAGGAAGGGGAGTGTTTATGTTTGCGTGGGATTTTTGTTTTGTGGGTTTTTTTAAACAAGCCTCCCATGAATGGCTGTGCAACACACGCTTCCAAGTACCACTTACCATTCATAGTTAGGCTGAGGCTCTGCAGCCTAACAAGAACATGATACATCTGCTAGTGCTCAAGTAAAATGAGAGCTGTATTTGTTACTAACATGAACCCGATTATAGTAGCTATATTTCTGCATAGGAAAAGCTGTGTAAGTTCACAGCACTCGAGTTAACTGAGAGACAGGAAATATCTTAAGGCGTCAGTGCCTCTAGAAATGTGCAGAACAACTGGTCTGTGAGCAGATGCAGAATGAAGTCAGCATTAATTAATTCAATTATAACACTACCAGGGAATAAGCTGCACAGCAGCAAAATAAATCTAGCTGCAAAAAAAAAATCAGTTTAAAAACCCAGTTTCGGCATGTTCAACATACAGAACAGTAAAACTTAGGGCAGGCTAACATTATAGTAATGCTATGTCTATTTTCCCTTGAGCATAAACTCCATATTGTGGAAATTGATTTTTAGAACTCTTCTGAGAGGAACTTTATATGCTTACATAGCACTTAAAGCCATGCAATCTGATCTCAGATTAAGCACAGTACATACAAACAGTTATAAAAACAAGAAGGTGCATTTGACGTCGTAGTCTCTAACACCAGACCGGCACCATGTTTAGTAGATGAGAACACGACGGTCTCAGTAAGAGTCTCTAAACAACTGGCACATCTTTTTTCTGACTGTTTCCTGATAAATAAGATATGATACAGTGGATAAAAGTTGGGTTCAAATCACAATTTTTAAGCAACATAGTGTATATTTAAGGGAATAAAAATGATGTAAACACTGTACATAACTGGAGAAGCACAGGAATACTGATGCTTGGGGCATGAAAGAGCTTGCCAACAGCAAAGAGTTTGCAACAGGGAGGACAGTTGGCTGTCACACTAGTTCCAGCACTGAACTGAACTCATGTGCTGAATTCATATTCAAAAGCCTGATCTGTGCATCACAGAGAGAACCTTTCAGTGACGCCACTCCCAGTAAAGGATACAAGAGTAAGGAGAGTAAGTTCAGAAAAAAGAAGAGTTTCTCTGCATGAATTAACCTTTCACGATCTCCCACAGAAGCAAGGATGGATGGGTTGTGAGGGTGGAGGTGGAAAGCAAACAGTGGCATCGGGGACTGTGGGCAGCCATGCAAGGTGAGTGAGTTGGAACAAATCAGGGAATGCTCCTACCCTAGGTCAGGAAGCAGGCTGGTCTACTATGGATTTCCTTGCATGGCTGCGTTGGGCACAGCACAAGAAGTTCTAGTACCAGAAAAATAAGTGTGATGACAACAAGAAAAGCCACCTCAAATCCAAATGACACTCAGAAGGAAGGATCAGTGAAACCCACCCATGAAATCCAGGCTTTAGTTCTTTGCAAGCAGTATGTGCCAGGAAGCAGAGGGTCATCATGATAACATTGTCTCAACAGTATCTTGATGCTAAGGTTCCAGCAGAAGATACAGATGCAGCAACTCTGCACAGGCATCCATGCCTTATTATCATCTTGCATTTTAGGCAAAACAATTCAGCTCTGAAAACTGTGGAAGTTTGGCACACCAAGAACATACAAACCTTGACACTAGCTGTTACATGCTGAGAAACAGCAGGAGTACTATGGGTCTTACTAGCCTGAAATTTTCTGAGTTCCAATGAAAATATCTTTTAAAAAAATTGGCTAAGAAAATTGGGTAAAGATTGTCCAACCTTCAGGCATCATGGAATTTAAAACAAGAACTTTTATGCCATAAAATTGCTAGCAGCTTTGACAATCTTCTCTTACGTAGAACATGTTCAAGCTGTTCGGTCCAGAGTTAGATAACTACCTTAATAAAAACACTAGAGAACTGGACTAATAAGATAATCCATTTTAAGTAGATAATTACCTCCTTTAAATGATTATATTTAAAGTCCTCCTTTTTGAGTATTTGGTAATAATTATATATTGGTTATTCTTAATTACCTTTGCAAGCACAGAACAGTGAGAAACTTAAGAATCAAATGTATGAATTCTAAACTAATCAAACAGTCCAAAAAGAATATAAACACTTAGCACAGAGGCTACCCTCCACTTTGCAAGAACTCAGCATTTTTAATGCCATTTAATTCTTAAGCTGATTAAATGCAATTCTCTGCACCACCCTCTAAAGCAACCAGTAAATTCACGATTATGAACAATAACCTAAGTAAAGAATGGAGTATTACCGTGGTCCACGTGCAATACTTTGTTAACAACATTATCATATGAATTCTGCACTTAAGTCGAGTATGAAAAAAGATAAGTAGTGAGAGGAAAAAAATATTAAATGGTAATGAAAGAAAAGTGAGGTATCAAAACCACAAAGGTTTTCTGTCTTTCTGTCTTCACTAAACACCAGATCTGTAACAAAGAAATACTCTGTGTACAGAAGACACCTTCTGTAAAGGTCATCTTTCACTGCACTTTATAAAAAGAAATTTTGCCCTTAAAAACCAGTCAAAAATACGCCTGCATCACTTCTCCGCAAGAGGAATGAATAATTTACATGTTTCAACTCTTTTTTGGTGGTACTTTACTTACAGACAGACAGAGATTTACTTACAGACTTTGAAGCAGTGCTAATATATTGCATCACCATTTCTTTTTTGGTGTTAAAATCCTTTTCTCTCAGTGGTGCCTTCTTGTCTTCATTTAAATTCATATCCTCCTAATAAGGGGGAAGAAAAAAAACAAGTCTTAAAGGTCTCCCAGCAATACTGCTAAGACACTGATTCCAAACTGGCTTTTCAGAACAAATATTTAAAAAAATAAAACTACTATTGAAAAATTTCTACTTTTAAAGTAAAGCATAAGCACAAAAATATGAACCAGAACAATTGAATGTTTTATTATACAAGTAACTGTTTATAAATTACATGCCTTTTTATTGAAAGAAGGAACACTGTGGACCACTTGCTGTCCAGGATTTGATCATTACATCAACATCTTCAGCTATTGTCAACGCTACTGGTACAATGAATTCATGTCAGCACAAACCCAGGGGTTGATAAGAAGAAAAACAAAACCACATCCAAAACCACAGAGGAGCTATTTATTGGCGTTTCTGATGCACTGACTTCTGGCTTCCAGCCTAGAAATGCTCTGCTCATTAATCGGTCACATACCCATGAGAAGTGGCATCTCCTATTACGCTATGGGTAAGAAGAGCATTAAAATGTTTAGATACACACACAGGTATGTGCATATAGACATTACTGCAGTCAGCCAAGCTTAGTAAGCATTACTGCCGTTATTTTCTGAGACTCTTACTGCCGTTATTAGCTGAGACTCTTCAGATGCATCAGCAGCAGCTTTCAAAAGAGTAGTGATGAGAGATCACTGGGTAGCCGCTTCTATATCAAAGTTTATTCCAGGTAGGCAGAAATAAAAGCAAGCAAATTTACACTTCAAGAATTTTGAGAGAAAATATCACTGTAGATTTAAGTTTCCTTTTCTTTCACTATTTTTACAGTGATTAGCCTAGAATCAAGCACAGTTCCAGGAAGAATTTGAGAGTTTTGAGTAAATCTGAGCTGCGAGATGACAACACGGAAAATATCTCACCCCATGAAGATGAACTTTTTAAAAATACAGTTAGAACAAATTTGTGAAGACTCACCAAGGGTTAGTGTCTCCTTCTCTGAAAGCCTAGAAAAAAGTTGCTCACTGCAGTATAGTATGCACCTAAATACTGCCTTTTAGCGCCCAATAGGTGCAGGATGTATACTGCAAAAGGTTCCTTCATTCCTCATTCAAGCAATATCAATAATACAGTCTTGTTCTTCCTCAGAAACTGCTTTGCATATTGCTGTTATTTTCTACAGCTTTAAGCAAATGCAAAACAAGCTCACTTAAGCAAGCTGGAAGCTGTGCATACTTTAATCTTTACTCATAGTTGCTTGGTAGTTCAGAATTTCATCAGAAATTTCATGAAGAAACTACCTGTTTATGTCCAAAAGAAAATTCTAGCGGTCCATAAGGACGCACACAAACACACACACCCTTGAATACTTTTTCTACATGTTGATGGCCTCATTTATTCTGTATAACACAAGTTATGTTAATATCCCTGATTCCTTTTTTTATTTATTTATTTTTTATTTCCTGTTACTATCGTTCCTATCCAGTTTACTTGATATAAGAATGCCCTCAAGGTTAAATCTAATGTTCTTAAATCTTTTATTTGCTCATCTATCTGTATGTGGAAGAAATAGCTAATAGCTAAACACTGACATTATCCTTTTGACAAACACAATCCATGAATCAACGTGACAAGTGCCTTAGGCAGTACTTGCATATTGCCTTCCATTAAACCAAATGTTAGGGACATGGCCTTCACAGGAATACTGCATTTTCTAGTTTTTCTTGGAAGAAAACAAAATAAATTCCAATAACCATCTTTGGAGTATTGTGCCTTAAGATTCTTTTCCATAGTCACATAATTGTACAGCAATACTCCAAATAAAAATATACTTTACATGCACATTTAACAATGTTAGCTTTATTAAAATTGATATACGCATGGTGTTTTAAAAAACAAGATACTTTTCCGTTAAATCTTAACTAATTATTTTTGTTTTGGAAAACTTGCCCTAAAAACTTGATTGTTGCACACAGATTTCTCCATAGCAGAACAAAGCTTAACCAAAGGTTACAATAATTAGCTATATAATCAGCTGTGACTAAATGCAACTAAACTATTCTGGAACATTCAAAGATGAAGAATAACCCGAAGAATCCTTTGTGTCACACAGTATGGCTAAGATAGTATTGACTTTTCTGTGATAAATTACTAAGTGCTTTATTATTAAAGAAATGAGGAAAGCATTCGCTTTACCCCAGATTTCATGATTACTTTAACACAGTTTTGCAATGATGTTATAGAATTGGAATGAACTACTTGAGGAGCCAAGGATTTTAACAGTACTGTTTGCCTAAGCATGCAGAACTGGAGCTTGGAAGATTTATTGAATGTTTCATTTTTTTGTAGCATAGTCTTAACATTGCACACTATGCTATAACATAATCACCGGGGGATGGCAAAGAAATTTAAGTTATGCTGGGGGGCGAGGGGATAGAGGGAGGGAGGCAAATCCAATGCCCTCCATGTTTAGTTTGCAATTTCCCAAAATGCTGTCATCATGCCAAGAACTCTGAGCCTACTGGGGCAGTACCAGTGCCACATGGTGCTGCAGGGAAATGGCTGCTCCTTCCCTGCAGAGCTGCTATTGCAGCTAAGGAAGGAGGTGATTTTGAGGCTAAGCTCAGAAGAGATTTTGTGTTTTACAGTCCTTCTGCAAACCCTGTTTTAGAGGAAGGAACCTTAAACGCTTCTGTGCAATAAGTAAAATAGAATGCAATATGAGAACAAAACCCTGCTGTTACATTCCAGGCATATAACTCTGGAATGAATTCTACAGATCCTCTTAAACAAGCAAGATTTCTGGTTTCATTGATCTCCTCAAAAATTGTTGCATAATCTCACTTCTAATATCTGATATCTTTGATTACTACTTCAAGTATATGTCCTCTAAATAATGCAAGTGATTTATCCTTGGAGGAAATGCCTTAGAAAACATACCATTATCAATAACGACGATGATGATTCAGGAAAGCTCCAAACATATGTGAAAACAAGCTTCTATCTATCAATCAGCAACGTTGTGGGCCGTTAAGAAACGAGTAGCAAGTCTCTTACCATCATTTTCTCAAACAGTGCTATGATTTCTCTTTCTGACAGAGGTTTGGGCACAAAATCCTCCACGTCCGAGGGTGACGTTGATGACCAGTCGGTAGAGTAAGATTGTTTCATGTTCGGCAGGGGAGGTCTCTCCTTCTTGCTTCCCGGAATCCTTATACTAGCAAACCTATCCAACTGAAAACACAAAAGGTGTATTATATCAGGTACTATTTTCATTCTTCACAGCCCTGACTAAAAAGAGATGTTCTCAGAAGCTTAACACTATTATTTTTCCTTGAGTAACTTACCTTACATTTAAATACCTTGTTTTAAAAGGTTTTCCTAAGGACACACATAACTGTAAGTTGCCTTAGTACGGCAGCTAACAGACCAGACACTGTTACATTTTAGAGAAATCAGGCAGAACATGAGAATTTTATGGAAGCTTTGGAAGAAAGAGTTATCTACAAAACAAATGAATGCTTTGAAGACTTCTCTCTAACCATTACACACAGCATATGCAAAAGCAGAGTTTTAAAGTAATTTTCACTAGTCTGGAACTGATGGACTCCTGGCATTGCAATGAAACACACAGATGCTCAAAAAATAGTTTTTAATAAAAAATGAGCTTACCTTAACCAAGATTTCTCTATTTACTTTTGTCTGCACTATTTTATCAAAAATTTTCGTTTTATTTACAAAATTGTTTAGGAAAAGCACAAAAAATGTTTAGCTCCTTTAGTAGATCTAAATAGGATACGTTTATAATTTGGTCAAATAAATCCATAGGGCTTCTCACTATCATGCAGTAAATGCACCAACTTTACCCTTTGAGAAGTCAAAGGAGCTTCTTTAAAAAATTTCCTCCCCATCCTACCCTCATTCTTTCTAGTTTGTTAATCAACTGGCATTTTATTGAACACTTACTGGTAATATGTTCTAGTGCACATTGATAAAGACCAGCAGAGCACAAAAACAAGGTCAAACCGACACAGTTGATGAGATAACCTAGATCTAAGTTATCTTTGTAGGTGTTTGCAACAGATGAATGTAGCAATATTATTTCATTTGTCAAAACTGGAGAAAGTTCCAGTAGCACTTGATGCATAAAGGATTTTGGACCAGATCTCAACACTATCATTCTTATGTTTTTGAAATGCTAAGCAAAAAATATTCTGAGGCTTGAGCACGTATTGGGCATGAGCACTTTGAGACACCGCTTAATAAGAACAAAATAAGCATGTCAAATGGCATGTTAACATATCCATGGTGTTTGGTAACAAAAATAAGGTTCAGGTGTTCCACCCTAGTCAAACCGGAATTGACTAATAGACTTATACAAGGAAAGAGAGTTGTCATTCTCCTCTATGCCTCGCACCCGCATCTCCGACCAAAAAAAAAAAAAAAAAACCTCTAATTTGTCCTATTCAAAGCCGAAAAGGGCATTTGTGAAACATATTATTATTTTGCAAGCCACTCACAGATGATTGCAATACATGCCAAAGCAGGGGCAAATTTCAGCCCAAGGATCAGTGAGCAGAGATCTAACTAAGCTTTAAGAGATGTGCCCTACATCCCCAATACAAATGTTTTCCTAAAACATTTCAGCAGCCTTTTTGCAACCCTTGCACCTCAAGTTTCCCCTCTTCCTTCCCCTACACATCCCTTCTACCTTTATTTACCCCATCATGTTCTCAAGATTCCCATCTCACTGCAGGGCACTTGCTACGTGCATACAAATCTTGGTCAAGAGAGCTAAAGTGTAAAACAGAACAAGACAACTGAGAAGAGATTTCTAAAAGAAACTCCAAGTTGTTCTTTGATTACACTAATGAAAACTGCACAAGTTCATGATCATCAGCTCTGCCACTCAGCTGCACAAGAGCTCTCAGATTCGCCCTCACTAAAGATGGAAGCAGGAGGGGAAGGCTGCAAGGCTTCTACATGTGGCTGATAAACAGCCATCTAGGTATATTTGTTTATTCCATATTTGAGAATGGAACATGATAGGAAACACATTCTTGACAGAAAAAAGGCATTTAATACTTTGCCAAAATGTGCTAACAAAGTGTGAATCTTATGTTGTGTCCAAAATTTATAATTTATATCTAAAGCATGAAATGAAAGCTTTCACCTCATTCTTCTGCATTTTATTTTATAGCAGGTGAGCATTACTAGCCACATGGTTTATAATGTCACAGAGCACTTTGTTCATGTATAGTGCATACAAACACACAAGGTCTAGGAAGAACAAGCCCTTTTTTGGCTCAGGCAAACAGATCAAACCATCTAATCCAATGGCATAACATGGGACATGTTGAGACCCTCCCTTGCCCACCACAGGGTTCTCATAATCGAGTAACTGCAAGTTACAGTGCAAGCAGTCAGGTTGCTTCCTCCATTCCCAGGGAAGCAGCAATAACAGTTCCCTTAAGACAAAAGAAAGCAGGCTGGACAAAAACACCCCGATTTTGACATACAACGCTAGAGATACTCTTTATTCCGTTAGAAACAGTGGCACAGGTTCATGAGCAAGAGCCAGGTTATCATTCAAAAGGGGTATTTTCCTTCCTTTCACTTGTTCACATTTTCGGTTTGTTCTTTTTTTCAAACTCATGTGTTCAAACATGTTAGCACCCGTTTTGCAACATTATAGATTGGGCTATCCCATTGATTCTCAGGAAAGCCACACTCGTAGAACCTGCTTGACCACAGAGAACTAGTCAGAGGAGTCAGTTCAAGAGAAAGTCAAACAGTAGCATTAAACGCATTTGAAGATATGTCAAAGTCTTCATTTTTAGTAATTAAAAACAACACAATCTAAAGTAGAGCTCCTAGGGAAGAGAAATTTGTAACACCTGCACAGTAGTAACGTGCGTTTCTATATAGATTTCTCCTCCAAATTTCACATCAATGGCACTTTTAAAAATAAAAAGTTAACAGCTCTGGCTGTTCCACGTAAGCAAGTGATTTCATGGGTCACAGAAAGCACAATGCAGAAAGAAGTTTCATTGCTTGAATGGAATGAAATTTACTGCTGATGTTGCTGGTGATCCAAGCATGAGAAGGAGGAAATGTCAAAAATAATCTTCCATGTTACATCAAAAACACCTTGAATCAGGCTAACCAAGGGGGAATATTTAGAATTAGCTTTGATACAAAAAGAGTCACTGAAGTTTAAAGAAGGTTTGACCTTCCATCTCTGAAGAACCTGCCCTGCATTTTCCAATAAATATATTCTTAAAACTGCTTCTGGATGGGTCTGTATAATTTTCATGAGGAAGAAAAAAAAATAAAGTGTAGGTAAAGCAGACATTAAAATTAACAGGGAAGTGGAGGAAGGGAAAGTGTTTAAGACCTTGATCTAAAGGGTTTCACTATAAAAATGCTTTGTAAGTTCTCTAAACCGAGATCTGTTTTGATGCACTGACAAAGAGCTAGCTGAAGTTAAAAGTTCAAAGGCAATAAGAAGTGAGACAAAAAGTGACTGCAATTAAATGCTTCTGACCAAAGAAAGTTACAACTTACTAAAACAGTATACAAAAATATTACAGGGAATCTGTGACAAGCTCTGAAATTCAGACGGTGTATTCTTATCATCATACCACTTCAGTGTTTCCATTTCAGATACATATTTTCAAAAGCAGTAACAATAAAAATATTAAGTTTAAGCACAAAAAAAAGTAGAAGAAATATTCGAATGCTACATGCTGCTCCCAAGTTGTACAGATGGCCATATAGCCATAGAGTAGACATGTGCATGTAGTAGCATAGTGGTCTGACTTCAAAGATAACTTGATAATAAAAAAATAAAATAAATAAATAAATAAAATTTGAATTAAAAGAAAAATAAAGAAAAAAAAATTAAACTTGTTGACATATACTTTTGCTTTTAGTCATTATGCTGCCTACTGCCAAAGCCTGGAACTTTTCTAATTAGTCATGCATTTTGTTGTCCGAGACACACACGGCAACTGAAATAGAAGCCTTAATGCTAGAACTGAAATACAGTGAAAGAGTATATTGTGGTCAACATAAACATGGGTTACTGTGAGACAGTTTTTAAGTAGCCTTCTGCAGTTACAGTCTTAAGCGTTTGTACCAAGCCTCCTCCAGAGCCCTTACCGTATTCCCTTGAACTGTAATAAATTCAAAACTATGTTTAAGAGAGCATTCCTTCCAGTACGCTGTGTCATCTCAAGGTTTAGTGAGGTACTAAATATGGCCAAGAGACATCACTAATGGGTTCTTACAGCACAGGAGCCTGTTACAGTTACTGTGCTGGGAGGCGTCACCCTGCACAGGGAAGCGCCGTCCCATTCATCTCTTGGCAGCAAAGGAAATGTGACCAAGTGACAAAGTTTGCGTGCAACTAAGTATGAAAAGTTGACCAATTAGGCCAAACAAGTCCAAATTGCATTTTTTTTTTTCATTTGTACTACAAGAAAAATGGTAATTTACAATAAAGCAGTACCACCACAACAATGTTCAAGTCCCATAGGGACTTGTTTGAAAACAGTCATATTAAAGATATGATAGGGAGTGAGCAACCAACAATTTTTGGGGGTATCAACAATTTTTTTAAACACCCATCATTCCTATGAAGGACAAGAGGTGAGGAGATGGAATCAAGATTAAATTAAGGAAATTTCCTTCCCTTACAGAAAAGATTATTTTACCCAACAGGACTCATTCATTCCAAGCCAGCCTGGTATGCCTATCCCATATTCTTTACATGGGAACAGCATCTTTCCTACTTCAAATAATAGCCCTAGGGCTTCAAGCCTACAGGCTGGCTAGACTCCTCTTCACTGACGCTGTTATTAACAAATGGTTCAAATGCCAATACTGTTAGTCCTGGAAATAAACCAAAAATGAAGCTGGGCAATCTAGGCTGAAGGTGATTAGCCATTAGCAGATGGTAACTCCTAGAACAGCCCAGAATGCAAACAGAAGAAGGCATAGTTATTTTCTGAGGAGTGCTACTCATGCTTTTGCTTTATGAATGTTCTGGGAACCCACAAATCAAGTGGTAACAACCTCCACAGCCGGTCTCGCTATTAGTGCGGGGAGGGGAGTACGAAACAACTGAAATGAGAAACAAAAATAAGTTAGTAACAGAGATTACACCAAGTTCAATAAAATGAGATATGACAGTTTGGGACGCTTTCTGGCATGCATTTGAAGCATTTATCTTGAATTTGGCAATACTAAGTTCCACAGCGCATAACAGCAGAGTTCCTAAACATTCCCACAGGCTCTCAAGAAATTGAGTTTTTGGTTTTGGTTAAACAATTGTAATCTTTAAAGAGTGAACCTTCCATTCGCAGCATATTTCAAATCCACAGCTGCAGTAACATGGCTGTTCCCACAGACATCATAGCTACAGACTACTATGGGAAACAGCATCAGCTGCATCTAGAGCCACTTAAGAAAAATTGTGGCATAAAAACTGTTTCCTCAGTTCACACCTGGAACTTCCTCCAAGTCTCAGTTGCTTTTGTCAGTTTATATAAACATGATACGGTTCCACACTTACATAAACACCTCTCATTGTTAATAGGAACAGCAGCATGGTTAGCAAGGATGGAAAAAAAAAAAAGATAGCTAAAAAATCAAATTCCTGCAATCAGGACTTCCATTAGCATCTCCAGTGTTCCAGTAATCTTTAAGAGGCCTTGACATTTTATTTTTTTAATCCTCTGGAAATAAGAATATTTTTCCACCTAGACAAAGCGTTATCAGGTATTGCTCAGCAGGTAATACTGCAGTTAGATACATATTGCTGTACTACAGGAAGATAGTCCCTCTCATCATAGATTTCTGAAGTAGAAACTAGCCTGTAACTATGAAAATGTGGCATCACTGCTGTTAGTACTAGGCCACAAGCCTGTTCCAAGCTCTGCAAGGCTTCAGGTCTGGGGCTCCTCAAACTTGCTTTGTCCAGCCTGGCCTTAGCCTCTGGGAGCTCTGTTCCATCTTGCATTGTAGCAGCAAATTCTTAACGATCAAGTTACCTTTACCAAATTTGTTTTCCTTTTGCTTAGCTGTACACAATTGTGTGGAGCATTTTTGCTAATAAATAGGTTGCGGTAACAGGCTGCTCTTCTGCGTGCAGCGAGGTAGCTGTCTCAGACCAGTGAGGTGGTAGAGATGAGTATAAGCAGAGCACAGCAGTGGAAGTTTGGAAAGTTTGGGCACTTTATTAGTTACTGGCTAATAACTGAGCCCTTGGGACTATAAACAACTCATCTTTTACTGTGGTCTTTACATGAATGAACCTGGGAGTTCAGCAGAGCTGGTTTTCAAGCAATAAAGAACATCAAGGACAAGTAGCCAATATGTTTTAAACATGCCATATATAGCAAATATGCATGCATCACTGAATTTAGAGCCAGTACAAAACATAACATGTACAGCACAGTAAGAACTTTAAAAAAGATAGCCTAGTGTGTGCCCGGTATGAGGGTAAATAAGCCATCAGCATGATATTCCTGCCAGAACTGAGGAAAGGAAAGGAAAAGGAAAAGGAAAAGGAAAAGGAAAAGGAAAAGGAAAAGGAAAAGGAAAAGGAAAAGGAAAAGGAAAAGGAAAAGGAAAAGGAAAAGGAAAAGGAAAAGGAAAAGGAAAAGAAAAAGAAAAAGAAAAAGAAAAAGAAAAAGTTGCAGCAGTATTTCTAATGAGACTTAAACTGAGATAACTTGGACTACAGATGTTAGCATCAATGCAACTGGACCATTAACAACTATTTGTTGCATTTTGATTCAGTTAACATTTAGACTTTTTTTTTTTCTTTGAAGCTTCATACAAAAAGTGCATTTCCACTTGCCCATATCTGGAGCAAAAGCTTGAGCATAACATCCTGTAGGGCTCCAGCATAAAAAGCTACCAGGCACAGTGTCCACATGCCCAGCCATGAAGAGGATTTTCTCTCAAAAGAGATACTAAATGTATTGAAAATTTGGGACCTAATCCACCATCTCATCATTGGCTGGGCAACTTGAATTTTGTTAAATAAACCGGTGCTATGAACGCTAAGGTAAATCTTTTAAACTCTTATTTGAACACTGCTGCTGTGACTGGACCCTAACAGTTGGCAAAAAAAGTTAATACCTATACTAGTGAGTACATACTAGATGTGAAAGTTATAAAAGAGGGCCTATCATAACCAAGTGAAATGAGTTTAGGCTTTTATTTAAAAAAAAAAAGGGGGGGGGAAAAAAATCACTACAAGTCATTAGAAAAAAAGAAATAGTAATAGCAGCTTCTAGAAGAATTCCCAAGATACCTTGGAAAAAGACAGCCATTTTCGTGTTAAGCAGTAGCACAGTACAGTGGCTTGGTAGAGGGAGAGCTTAACGATATACTGAGTAAGAAAGACTAAAATTCCTTCCATCACAGTTCCTTGCACTTTTTCTTCCCCTCCGGGAAGCAGACTCATCAGACGAGACATGGGATGACCTGGTCTGGACCCAAGCTAACATATCCACACGGCAGCTGCCCCACACCAGGTGGGCTTTCTAGCATTGGCTCTCTGATCTCTGCTTTCCACTTGAGCACAAAGAACTGCGATGACCGACCAGGTAAAGCACATCCTCTTGCATGAGGGCTGAAGTGAACAGACACCTCTGAAATGAGAGGAGAAGCACAACCATTTCATATATATTTCTCCCACTGCAAGAAGCAGATCTATTTGTGAAGTTAGTGTAGATTGGAATGGCAAAAGAGGATTCTCTGTTCCCATCTGCAGTCCCTGCACCAATGTCCAAGATGTTCCTGTGGAAGAGGATTGATCTGAGGCTGCACATCAAAGCTAAGCGTCAGCTTGGAGGGGTTTTTTTGCCAGATAAACAGCAAGGCTTCCACGTCAGACAAATTTATGGAGTATTTATCATTGCAGTACAGGAAAAACTGAGTTGCACAATGCAGCAGAGAGTCAGTATGGACATGATTACCCATAAGAGGAAAGGAAATATATCCTTTCACTAAAAGCTACGGTATCAAGTACTCTCCAGCTTCTTGATCTTCTCTTGCCACAGTTTTCCCACTTGCTGAGAAAGGAATTTGGGGAATATCTTTGCTATTTTTCCCCCCTGTTAAAGGGATGAAATGTCAAAATGTGGCTCAGACTAGAGGTGTTTTAAGTTTCCTAGGACACCTGTTACTAGCTATTTTTCCAGAACGTGACACAAAAGGACAGTTGGAAAAAAATCAGTTGGAAAGCATACTGTTGTTCCAAGGTGAAGTAGCAAATGCACAAAATAAATATCCAACTTTAAAACTGTCAGCTGCCGTAATATTTGAGATTTTTTTCTTACTTTTTTGTTGTTGTTAAGAAAAGCAGCTGTGAAGTAAAAGTCTATCAAGATATTAATAGAGACATTTAGTACTTAATACAGATATTTAGTGCTTTTTGGCTACAGAGCCACATATAAAGGGTCTTTCAGCATGTGCCGAGAAACGTGAGTCAAGAAAAATAAATCACATCACAGACATTAATCTCTTCCCAATTATAACGAAGAATAATAATTCTTTAAGAACTATAAATATGTTTATATTTGTTTTTTATAAAATTATAAATTATAATAACCTTGCTGACTTGTAGTGGCTATAATTGCAAATTAGACAAGTCCAACAGTCTATGAAGACAAGAGCCACAAGACCATTCCATTCTCCAAGAAGGGAATTGGCAAGATCATATTCACCATTGCCTATAACCTATTTGTAGCACTAGCAAAATTATTAGGCTTTGGTTGCCAAAAAAAATAGCTTTGCATTTGAAGAGAATTGAAAATTTTCTCTACTCTCCAGAGCAAGAAATAGGTTTAAGGGATAGGGGTTCTATGGCAAGCAATTTTACAAATAATTATTTCTAGCCCATGAAATCCCTGTAAATACTAACACACAATTTGAATGCAACAGTCTAGGCATGATAAGCGGGAGGTAATATACCCTGAGCTCCTAACTTTGCACATCTGGTCAGCAATAACCAGACTATTGGCATCGGCGGGTAAAAAGAAAAAAAAAATAAATATAGTGTTTCTCAGGGCAGTGTGCTGAATGTCATCCAACATAAAGCTCTGCCCTTGGACTGTTACGCACACAAGTATTTAAGCAAGAACACTGCAACAAATACACACTAAAGTCATGACAGCTAGACCCTACATGCATTCAGAACATCATTTCCTAGGCAATTTAAAGACTTTGCAGAATGATCAACTTTAAGAAAAACTTGCCAACAAACAAATACAGCATACAATGAAATTAGGTATATTTTAGTAACAAGAAAAGTCTACTTTGTGATCGAGAACATCTGGTGCCATGAAGAGACAGATAAAATTCGAGGAACACACTGTTAGCACAACACAATATATTTAATGCTGTTTGAAGCAACATTAACAAGTTTTACAAGCAACTGTTAGTTTGTTAAATGTGGTGTTTTAAGGTAGCCATCCAGTGTTAGTAACTGTAATATTGAACATGCAATCACAGAAAATATCCTAAGCTTCCTGCAAGCTATCTGCACCACACTCATTTAGCCAGGATTACAACATGCTTCAAAGCCATCCACAGTTATTTTGCTACCTGCACCGAGTATATTACAGATAATTAACAGTTTAGTGAGACTTTACCAATTAACTAAGGCAACATCCCAATTAAGACAGTTTCTTGCAGCAACCAGGTTACTTATATCAAAATAGCAATTAGGTTATTAGCTTAGCAAAGCCAAAGCAAAACTTAAATTGTCTTACCACATCATCTGTCAGTGTCTTGATATTTAAATGCTGTAAATCAAAGAAGAAACCAGTCATGTCAATCACACATTTAAAAGGGTCAGTTATAGTTGCAGTTACTAAGCAAGATCAACAGTATTAAATCATGGCATTTGAGGTAATAGTTTCCTTGGCAAACTGTACTTTGTTGGCTAACAGTTCACAGCGAATAATTCTGGAGAATGCTCTATACATTTAAAAATACAGTAATTCAATCCTTACAGAGTAATAGCGTGCAAGCACAACTTGAGGCAAATTATAAAACATTTACATCTAAGTATATTAGAACAGAAGAACAGCCCATATTCAGTATTTAAAGTTAAGTCTCTCCAGAGTGGTCACTTCCTTAGTGGCAGACAAGAGGTTTTAAACTATGTAACACTTCAGCATTTTGGAATTATCCAAGACTTAACTATCCTCAAGCAGTGCCAGTGTGGCAAACAAGAAAGCAGGTATTAGTGGAAACTCACACAAGCATTAATTAGTAGTAACATCCCAAAAGCTACAAATTATTGCTCACTGCTGTGCAAAACAGCAGTTCCTGATCAACCCTCTTGCCATGTTTGCCTGTGTGCAGTGCAAGTGCCGGGGTACCCAGATCCCCCACAAAAACTAAGGGCAGCCCTGAAGAGTCAGAGTTGCAGGGATCTCACTTACAACTGTGGGATGTGTCCTCTCCATATATAACTGTGTTATATGGAGAGGATGAGAATAGACTTGGAAGGGAAGAGAAGAAAATCTGAGGTCATACAGCTGGCAAGATGGACTCTTGATGTAGCCTTTCGCTCCCCTCATTTCACACACTTAAACCCCTGCCTGGTGCCCAGACTCAGTGGCGGTCACACAAGTTATCCAGACCTGCAAACGCCAGCCACATCTTCACCAAATCAACAATACATAGAAACTGTCTCTGTACAGAAATTTTAAGACAATTCTTCCCACATTCCAGAAGATGAACACTGGTAGTAAAGTGACAATGATAAAAAACAGAGGACACTTGACCTTCTAGTCAGGAAAGCCTGTCCTAGTCTTCCCACTCATGTTCCACCCCAGCAGTGGCAGGGCAAACTTTTGCTCCACACTTTACTGTGAACCTACTGTTTTTGCAGCCAATTCTTCTCATTTTGCAAATAGCAGCAGAGGGAACATGAGCACTAACCTTAGCCAGCCATTCGCATGAGAGCCCCCCCAGTTTACATTCAGCAAGTTCTTAGCTGAACACCACTACGCTTAAGTAATTAAAACAGCAGGAAGCAAACACTAACATCCAGTCTTAAAATGAAACTTTGCAGTAATAACAAATATTTATTCCTTTTCATGCTCTCAGCTGGAACACCTAGGCCTTAGGCAATGAGCAGGCATCACTGTGAAGCTCATGGCAAGAGAATAAATACTCCACTTAGAATGAAAGTCTTTTGCATTACATCTTTTGAGGAGAAATCTGAGAGGAGCTGCCCATCCACATACATCCCACTAAACAGATGTAGGAACCACAGTATCAGTCCACTGTCACTTAGAAACAGATACTGGCTGTTCTGCAACTGCTTAACAGGAAACACCATCATCATCATCCATGATATCAAGACAGTACTTGTCAGGTTCAGGGCTTGTCCTTTGAAAAGGTAAAAGTTAATGGGATGGCTCAATCCAATATTATACCTTTCATTTAAACTAAGATTTAGCAGTCAAGTTTAGTGCAGGAAAGGCTGAAAGTTCTCTACCCTCCACATCATGCCATTTTTTGGTTTTAGCCATTTGGTTACTTGGTGAAAAAGACTATCATGCAACCAATTTAGGGCTCCATAACGGCTTAAGAAACTTAATATGCAGCTGTGAGTTTCCTATACTCGCTTCCCTGCAGCGGCCAACAGCGCCAGAGCCTGGAAACATCTGCACAACAGCTCATGCGGACAGCGTTCTGAGGCCTGGTTTGAAGGTAACTGCTACTTAGCTAGCACCACCCTGCAAATTGAGGAACACTAGATTTAGAAATCTCTTTAGAAAGTACTAGGAACCCTGAAAAACCTATAAACTACTCTTCAGAACCTCTAGAACTTTGATATTAAAACACCATATGACTTGTAAAAGACATCTAATTCTAATCGAGAAGACTAATTCTGTGAATTTTGTTTTATCACATTTCATGTAGGGATGCTAGTCAAAACACGAAGACTCAGATGATCTTTTCAACCTCAATTCACAGTTGTTCCTTACAAAACATAGCGTGAGCCTACGGGGACACACCACTTCCATAGAATCATAGGATGCTTAAGTTTGGAAGGGACCTCTAGAGATCATCTAGTCCAACCCCCCTGCATACACAGGGTCACCTAGAGCACATGGCACAGGACTGCATCCAAGCGGGTCTTGAAGATCTTCAGAGAAGGAGACTCCACAACCTCGCTGGGCAGCCTGTTCCAGTGCTCTGTCACCCTCACTGTTAAGAAATGTTTCCTTAAGTTCCTGTGGAACTTTCGGTGCTTCAGTTTGTGGTCATTACCTCTAGTTCTGTCGGTGGCCACCACTGAAAAGAGGCCGGCCCCATCCTCCTCACTGCCTCCCTTGAGGTACTTGTAGACACTGATCAAGTCCTATTTCAGCCTTCTCTTTTCCAGGCTGAACAGGCCCAGCTCCCTCAGCCTCTCCTCATAGGGCAGATGTTCCAGGCCCCTGATCATCCTCGTAGCCCTGCGCTGGACTCTCTCCAGCAGCTCCACATCCCTCTTGTACTGTGGAGCCCAGAACTGAACACAATACTCCAGATGTGGCCTCACCAGGGCTGAGTAGAGGGGCAGGATCACCTCCCTCGACCTGCTGGAGACTCTCTTCTTAATGCACCCCAGGATCCCATTGGCTTTCTTGGCCACAAGAGCACACTGCTGCCTCATGGTCAACTTGTCATCCACCATGACACCCAGGTCTTTCTCTGCAGAGCGGATCTCCAGAAGGTCAGTCCCCAGCCTGTACTGGTGTCTGGGGTTATACGCAGTAGACTGGAGTCTGAGGTAGATGAAAAAAATAATATGCTGTTTTGTACCTTTTATGAACTACTCCATAAAAGTAAAAATTATTACCTGGAAGAAGACTAAAAAAATCTCTAGTCTCACTGTTACATTAAAATGAGGTATGTGAAAATGAAGATCAAGTTACAGCATTAAGTACATAAACATTCTAATCAAAGAGAGAAAGACATGAAGCCATTAAGAGTGTAGACTAGAGTTCTTAGAAAGTCCAAATTTGTGTAGCATCAGTAGCATTTGTGTACCATCAGTAGCATCTACTGTTGAAAAAAGCCATGTATCACCATAACTGAGTTTTCAGCTATTTAAACATAATTATATATAGAAAAGTTACATTTTGAAATGAAATTTTCCAGGCTCACTAGGTTTTTAGTTTGGAACATGTAGGAATCAAGAAGCAGTTCTGTTAAAGCTAAATAAAAAGCACATAGATGCACGATTTTAAAACATGCAAATATCTAACATGGAATTATCCCTTATTGCAGGAAATCAGGACTCCTGACAACTGATTTAACAGGACATGAGATACACACACTCAGCGGATGGTGCTGCGTTTTTAAGCTCTCAGCAGCTCTACCAAAGGCATCAGGAGCCTTTACTGCTCAGTACAGAGCAGTAGCCAACTGCCACAAAACAGAAGAAGGACCTTCATGTAGCAGCCACAAGACACAACTTGTATAGCACCCAGCTACAGAAAGCAAGGCAAGCACTGTTCAGTATTACACAATAGCAGACACTATCATGGTACAGATGAGGATGACCTTATGATGTGAAGAAACAGTTTTGTAGCACACAAAGTGGAATTTGAATCTGCAAGACTGAGTTTATCAATTTAAGCCTTGGTCTTTAATGATTACTCCAGCCAATTCTGGGTAAAGACAGTGAAGCAAACTAATAAGAAATCCACTTAATTTGGATCAACAAGACCTTTTTGATTGTCTGTGTGATGACATGTATGTCTGTACCTTTGCACATGCATAACTATAAAGAAAGTTATATCTAAGTGCAGTAAAGAAAAAAAAAAACAAGAAAACAGTAGCGGAAACCAAAAGAAGGTCATCTTCTCGGACCTGCATCTGTGTTTTTTTTTCCTCCATTACCACATATCAATTTGGGCTGGAAAAGACGAACAAAACTGGAACATTATAGGGTGCAGTCTAAGACTTTGGGCACTCTTTCAAACCATTACACCGTACATTTTGCCACTAAATAAGATAAGTCCATTCAGGATCTTATAAGCACAAGAGAACATTACTCATCTGAATTTCTGAATGCAAAGAGTTTCGTGCTGAAATTCAGATCGCGCTTGGCAGGGATGGGCATCATTAGCATGTCCTGAGAGGAGAGAAAGTCAGATTTGCAGGCATAAATGGAATTAGAGGCCAGACAAACAGCTAACCGTAGGTCCTTGGCAGCATGACAGGAGCCCTAGGAATGCAAAGCAACAGAAACTCAGTCTGCTAAACAAGAATTTGAATTTCAGCATGGGTTCCATCCATCATACTAAAGGATTTAAATAATCCAAGAATACATAAATGAAATTTGGGCATCTAAATCCTATCCCCCACCCCACATAGTCTTCTATGCCTTCTTTGCAAAGGAAAGAAAACCTGCATAGCTTCTTTGATTAATTAAGTGTAGCTCCCACTCTACAAGAAGCTAGGAAAAGAGAGAGAGAAAAAAAAAAAAGTTAGAGGAGTACTTAATCAAAATGCAATTAGTTTTAGAAGAGCTGGCCAACTTCAAGCTGGATTCTGAAACTAAATAAACCAAAACTAAAGTTGTACATATAATTACCCAATCCCCTCTGTACCTTTTTTAAATGGGAAAAATAAGGGGGATATAACTTATCACACCCTACCAGGGATTCTATCTATGCTTTTTTCCCTGAAAGCTATTCTCTAGATGAAACAAATACAAGGCTGAAGCAAGAACTGCAAGGAAATCTGTGGTCTTAGATACAGAGATGTAAATTGGATGATTATAGTGAACCCTATTACTGTAGAAAGAATCTTCTTCCTTACAATATTGGCTTGGTAATTTTCTTACCTCAGGCCATAATAGCACTTCAGCAATGGTGGTATAATCCAGCACTATTTCATACTTCTGTAATGTACAACTTCATCATTTATTTAACGGTCTTTTAAAAGCACACACATACACTGTGGAAACTAGTCCGAAAAGCAGGAAGAAGAAAAGTTATTTTGACATAGCAGTTCCTACCTAATGATATTCTTTAGGCACTGATGAGTTAAACCCCAAATGGATGCTTACAGGTAAGGTTATATAACAAAGCACTAGAGCACAGTGATTAAATTTAATATTATGACCCAGAATGTTAATTCAAGCCAACAAAGACAACAGCATGAAGAATCATACAATTTTACAAAGCTGCAGTAAAGTGTTTTAGGTAACATCTGTTCAGCAATCATTTTCTTAAAAGACTAATTTATATTCAAGGTCTTACACTGCAGTGTAACTACAACAATAATTCTGTCACTTCATACTTAAAGCCACAGATCCTTCTTACCTTTCTCCTCTACCAATGCTAGTCAAACAAAATGTTTTTTTCTCTCAACTACATCTTTCTTTGATTTACAATTAGTGCCAGAGTATTTTCTATTTTAAATAGGTTGATGCAAACAAAGTCTTATGGATTCATACATATATGTAAACACATGTATATATGTATATAAAAAAAAAAAAAACTTAATCAAAAATACAATCCGGAGATCACTGAAGACTAGTCTATGACACAGAAAGTGGGAAAAACGCTAGGTTCAGTGAGAAAATGAAATTGCCATTTTTTGAGGGCTAGCATCCATAAGATTTAGTCCCAATAAAGCACAAATATGTCACCTAATCAAGTAATTTAGCAGCCACTCTTATGATTTCCATCCCTGTCAAAGGAGAGAATTAAACACACACACACACAGAAAAACACTGGAAGCGGCAAGCAGCTGCTTTTACTCCCCACCATAAATCTCAAAAGCCTGCCTGTCTACACATAAATATATACACAGAAAACAGGCACAATCGCTACCGTTCTTTTATTCGTTTCCCCTTTTCCCGAGCAGAATGTAAGAACTTTAGTTAAGCTAAACTACTAGATTACCATATAATATTATGGCTTTTTACTCTTAAGAGTCCCACTCTTCCAAATCTTGGCCCTACTAAGCAAAGCCAAGTAGATGAGGTTTTAATTGCTTCCAAATTAATAATCACTCCTTCAGAAAAGCTTTGTTTTAATAATTCTGTAGAACTGAGAGAATGAAGGAATTAGCATTCACATCAACTTCTAAAAAGCTTGATTATTCACAAAGGCAGCACATCAAGAAGCACTTCGACCAGAATCACAAGCTTTAATTACTGATCCCAAAGACTGTGGTTTTGCCCCCACGAAATGAAGTGGTAATAACAAAGGATTTTTTCTGTCACCATACCAGAATCTTTTTTTGGAAGAGATCAAATATTTTTATAACATGTGGAGTTTGGCAAGATGCTGTCCTGAACTGAGGGGTGTGGGGGGAAACACCTCTTATCCCTGCTTAGAGAGTTTCAGAAGAGAGATGATCACATACATTAAATATTGATATATACTGAACCAGATACCTGCTCAAATAACCTGAGTGGCTACTACATGAAAGGGATTGTAGGAATCAGGAATGCAAGGAGCAAACTGGGGCCACCTGGGTAGTTTTTCCAAGTATAGTTCGGTATCGCTATCAGTTAACATCACAGCGCCCTATGACGCACATAGGGCCGTTTGGACCTCGCTCTCCTATAGCAGATACTCCAGACCATAGGCAGTGCAAGCAGGCCTCAGAATCAAGAATTCAATACACATTACACATTCCAGCAGCTATGCCCTAGGTGCTCAGCACAGCCCAGAGCCAGCTGAGCAAAGAGACCAGCAGGCGCATCACCCACAGGGCCTTGGGCGCCCACTGCTCTGCTCGCAGTGGGTGCGAGACTTGCACGGACCGTGCAGGTGTCCAGCCCTGGCACTCGGGTGTCACATCCCGGCCAAACAAGCAGCAGCTCTTCTTGGGGAGCGAGTGGTGGGGAAGGGTGTTGCAGCCCATCTCACACGCAGCTTGACCCAGCAGCGCTTTTGAGCTTCCCAGCAGCACTTTTGAGCTTCCCACACTTTACGCTGGCTTGGAAGGATGACGTGGTGGAGACCTCTACATATCTCCTAAAGGCAGAGGCTTGTTTTTCAACTAAACATATATATATATATATTCATACATACACATAAAAATGCAAGATATACAAAAATGTGTATATATATATATATATATACACATGTATATATATATATATATGTATATATATATAAAAGCACTTCCAATTATCAGAATACAACTTACACCACCCAAACCCACCTCTTTACCACCCCTTTAGATCTGAGGGCCTAGAGGTGGGAGAGGCCCCGGAGAGGGGCGACTCGTACTCACAAATTTGGGTTTCCTGCCGTCCGCCGCCTCCTCGCCGGCGCCCGCAGCCCCGGGCGGGCCCTTGCGCCGCG